GAATAGAAATATTCATGTTTTCATAGTTACTTTGTTTATGCAATTGAAAATGTTCAGGTTCTTTTCTTTTCTTTTCTTTTTTCTGTTTCTTTACATTAAAGTACTTTGCCTGAGATAAGTGAACTTAAAGATAGAATTTTTAGAAGAAAAAATATATACTAAGCAATGATGGGTAATGGCTAGTAGTGGAATCCAGGACGCACGCTTCGTCCCATTTGGGACTCGTCAGCTGGATGTACCTCCATCTCAGAGTTGATGTTCACTCTGGGACTCGAACCCAGTACCATTCGCTTCAAATGACAACGTGTAATCCCCTCAGCTACTGAGTCCTGATAGCCACTTGCTTGTGTAATGGGGTGAATTTAAATTCACTTGGTATTGTTCTGTTTGTATCTTCCCATTGAGGTTTATGACTGCAATTGATCAGTGTGGTATTGGCACATGTGCAGACTGTGCGCATGCCTCGATATTGCCTTCATCCACAAGGTTTTTGTAAGCAAAGATGGATAGTGGTTAACAGTGGGATCCAAGACGCGCGTTTTGTCCTATTTGGGGCTCGTCAGCTGGATGTACCTGCATCCCGGAATTATTGTTCGCTCTGGGACTCGAAGCCAGCACCATTCTCTTCAAAAAATTCTTATATATGTTTTTATATACTTTTACATTTAAATTAATGTACCGAACTAAGTGATAGCTCAAATTTAATACAAATACATTTCATCAATGTAATCCATAAATATCATCAAAGAAGAATTAAAGATAATTCAGTGAAAAAGAAGTTTTCTTTTCAACAATATCATTCTATGGTGGTCTAGCTTTAATGGACTCATGATCTCAACCATTAAAATTACTATAACATACACAAAACCCCTTCTGATATTAATCAACATATGCTCACTAGTAACTGACTTCAAGAGGTATATCCTGGAGTTTTAGTGAGAAGCAGTGACCAGTGGAGTTCAACCAGGTCTGTTGTGAGACTCACTGATGACAATGATGAATGTGTCGCCTAATTACGTGGATTAGTTGAAGTTGGACATTAACACCGTTGGATGTCGGTCAGCTCAGTGGTTTAGTGGTTAAGCGCTCGCGCATGAGACTGATAGATCCTCCTTTTGAATCTCTTGAGGGGCGAGATCTTAGATGTGCACTGCTGAGGAATCACACAACAGGATGAAATGGCCGTTCAGTGCTTCCGGGTTCTCCATGGTGATCTAGCTTCAACTCACTCATGATCTCAACCATTGAAATATCGTTCACTCAAGTTGTATGATTGTATTTACAGTTAATTTACAAATAAAATAGTTCTAATAGTTAAGTTCATTAGTTGATCTAAGCTAGACTACTACGACTCGAACCAAGGACCTTGGGACTCGCACGCAAACGCTTTATCCCTAGAGCACTGAGGTATCATCCAACGGTGTTAATGTTTAACTTTAGTTAGTCCTTGATATCTCACAAACATCTTATGTTGTTTTCAGTGGGTAGCTGTTTCACATCTGACGCCCTTTAGCTTCGCTAGTCACGGCTTATCATTAGAACTCTGAGAATTACCTATCGAAGCTAGTCACTTGTGGACATACGATAAATGTCAGAACGAGATTATGAAGATTTCTGAATTCTAATGAATTCATGAACCGATTTAAGTTAGAACGAACTTTCAGTGCTTCCGGGTTCTTATTAGTCGTCTAACTCAGATCGGCCCAAAATTTCAATGAAATCTCGACTCTTAGGTAGATCATAATGTTGACAGTGATAATATTTCTGAAGGTGATATTAGATATAATTATGGTAGAGTTTTGTTCTCTGAGTTGGATGGTTTGGTCATAGAGCTTTTACTGTTCTTCTGGTAGAAGTGAAGTGCTCGATTTCCTCCACATATGACTCACTAGCTTGTCCTTTAACATGACATCGTTTACTTCTTTGTTTTGGTTGTATCTCCCATTGGTTTGATTTTTGTTCCTATGTTTGTGCAGAATTTTCCTGATTAGTTGACAAATTGGATTGATTTCAATGTGTTTGTTGATTGCTGATTGAGCTGAGTGCCAAGCTTCTAAACATTCTCTGGTGTTTTTGAAATTGCCTTTATCTAAAATCTCCACATTTGTCCAATCGAATTTGTGTTCACAGCTGTCCAAATGCATTAATATAAGCGAGGATATCATGGCGTTTTGCCTCTAATTTATGTTCGTGTTGGCGAAGATGAAAGCGGAGTCCACTTTGTCTGATGAAGTGGTTTTCGCAGTTAGAACAATTTATTTTCAGGATGTTGTTCGGTTTTTCTTCTTTTGTCACTTCGTCCTTTGGTTTGCATAGAACTGACTGAAGTGATTTTACTGGTTTGCATGCTACATCTATCCCAAAAGGCTTCAACAATCTCGTCGTTATTTCTGATATGCCTTTTATATATAGTAGGATGATCCTTCTTATTAGATTCTGTACTTGGATTTGTTCTTACTGATGCCTTCGCTTGATATTATTTTATGTTGGTTGGGTAGCCGTTCTCTTGAAAGATAGTCTTTAGATATTTTTCTTCATTTTTCCGCGCTGAAAGTGTATTGCAATTTGTCCTTGCTCTCTTGAATGAAGTTTGTACGCAGTTGATTTTTTGGATTCTCGGGTTGCCGCTATTGTAATTGGAAATTTGATCTGTGCTGGTTGGCTTCCGACATACCTGAGTCTCCAGTTTTCCTGTGTCTGTCGTGGTGAATAATACATCCAAGAATGATAGTTTGTTGTTTGACTAGTGTTCAAGTGTGAACTTTATGTCATCGAGGACGTTTTTGATCAAATTGTAGGTGTTTTTCAGCTCGCCTTTTTTGACGATTACGAAAGTGTCGTCGACATAAGGAATACAAATTTTCGGCTTGATCACTGTTACGACCTAGGTTTCCAGTCTCTGCACCACTGCTTCTGCAATAAGTCCTGTTCCTTTCGTTTGTTCGAAGATTTTATTGTTGAATTGAAAATATGTTGTTAAAATAAATCAATTAGTTCTAGTAAGAAAAGATAAATGATAAGATTAAGTACATTCAAATCAATAACGACGAATTGATTATATCCTTCAATATAACACCCTTATTCACTTCAATTGATCCAAGTTTAGCAAAGGAAACTCTATCTCTGCTTCTTACTGACGACACAAATCTCTCAAATTACACTGAGCTTCAAAGTCAAAGTTTACTATAACTCATTAACCGAGATCTACAGCACAAGCTGTAAAACATACATGAAGAAATTCGAACACTTCACTTCTACTTCAAGTTTGTGCTAATAATATCGTTTAGAAGAACAATGAAACCTCCATAACCAAACCATCCTTTTCAAGAAACAAAAATCCACCAAAATCATCCACTTGAGCTACAAATCTTCATTGTCATCTCATTAGCTATAAACTAAATTGTTGTCAAACATTAATATTTAATCCCACACATTTTCAACAAGCAAATAATCAAAAAATGGATAGTGGCTGGCAGTGAAATCCAGGACGCGCATTTCAACCTATCCCGGACCCGTTAGCTTGATGTACCTTCATCTCAAAGTTAATGTTCACTCCAATTCTCGAACCTAGGAATGTTCGTCTCAAACGCCATCGCGTTATCCATTTAGCTACTGAGTCCTGATAACCACTCGATTGTGCCAACAAGAGACTGATCAATTTCGGTCCTAAACAACATTGCGAAACTACAAACAAACAACACCAAGTGAATTTAAACAAATAAACAGGTGATGTATGTTGGGGACGCTAGATCCCCAGAACTCACTTGGGAAAGAACCCAATTTTGCAACTTTACTTAGAAAATTTGAATTTCTTTATTTTCGCGCCAAAGGCGCTTTGTCACCTTCATGTCGTATTTCCCACTAGGAAATATCTTAAATGCTACTGGTCCGTTACGTCTTTTAGTATGCTATTTGATAATTTTCCCCAAGGACGGTTGTACATTGTATATATACGTTTTGAATTGTGTTTGTTGTTATCTCTCGTCTCTGGCTGTTCGCAGAATATACTTTCCCATTCCAAGCGTGGACTTCTCCCTCTAGTTAGCGGGGCTGGGACGCATCAATAACTAGTTTACTGGTCGTTGGTCACCGAGTCTTGTTTCTCGTTCGCCGATTAAGTGGACTCGTGATAGCTTCAACCCTAGAAAATTTGGTGAGGGGGATAGGATTCGAATCCACGTTGGGAAATCCCAATGTCAATGTACAACACAAACTATTCTATCAATTAGTTATCATTAAAATTTCATTTAAAATTTATTCTTCATCGAAGAACAGTATTTTACCTCAATTACATTTTTACATAAATAAAACATGTAGATTGATAGGTGAATCAAATGAATAAATAAATAAACATGATGAATCACTATAAAGTGATTTTAACACTCTTATCTCTGTTCTCCTCTCTCTTTCTTTTCTTCTCACTATATATATATATATATATATATATATATATATATATACCAGAAGGGGGTTTGTGAAGATTTTAGTAATTTAATAGTTGAATTCATGAGTCGATCGAAAATAGACTATTATAGAAAACCTAGAAGCACTGGATGGTCATTTCTTCTTAGTATGAGACTCATCAGCAGTGATTATCGATGATCCCGCCTCGCGAGATTCGAACCCAGAGCTTATCCGACTCGCGCGCGAATATATATACGTATATAATGGATCTGTAGTGGTACTTACTTACTTTATCCCTCTTTCGCCCTCTGTATATGTGTGTGTATTTAATAAGCACATGACACAGTATTTACTGTTGGATAGAGAGAAAAAATAATTGTATCGTTTTTGTTTCTTAAAAAGAAACCTTTCATCTTTATTGTAATGACTAACAAACTTAATTTAAAATAACAAATTAACTCATTACCTACATGTGTTTGAATGGATTCATTTTCATTAATTTAAACAAAATTGACGATTATGAAATTGGGGATGAGTAGGAAATATATATACATTAACACTGTTATGATAGGATATATTTTGCATTTTATCAATAGTTGCACAGTATATATGATGATGATGATGATGATGATGATGATGATGATGATGATGATGATGATGATGATGATGATGATGATGATGATGATGATGATGATGATGATGATGATGATGATGATGATGATGATGATGATGATGATGATGATGATGATGATGATGATGATGATGATGATGATGATGATGATGATGATGATGATGATGATGATGATGATGATGATGATGATGATGATGATGATGATGATGATGATGATGATGATGATGATGATGATGATGATGATGATGATGATGATGATGATGATGATGATGATGATGATGATGATGATGATGATGATGATGATGATGATGATGATGATGATGATGATGATGATGATGATGATGATGATGATGATGATGATGATGATGATGATGATGATGATGATGATGATGATGATGATGATGATGATGATGATGATGATGATGATGATGATGATGATGATGATGATGATGATGATGATGATGATGATGATGATGATGATGATGATGATGATGATGATGATGATGATGATGATGATGATGATGATGATGATGATGATGATGATGATGATGATGATGATGATGATGATGATGATGATGATGATGATGATGATGATGATGATGATGATGATGATGATGATGATGATGATGATGATGATGATGATGATGATGATGATGATGATGATGATGATGATGATGATGATGATGATGATGATGATGATGATGATGATGATGATGATGATGATGATGATGATGATGATGATGATGATGATGATGATGATGATGATGATGATGATGATGATGATGATGATGATGATGATGATGATGATGATGATGATGATGATGATGATGATGATGATGATGATGATGATGATGATGATGATGATGATGATGATGATGATGATGATGATGATGATGATGATGATGATGATGATGATGATGATGATGATGATGATTAATTCTTAACATGTGTTATCACAGATTATAAGTAAGCAGAATATAAATAATAGTATGGTGTATGCTATATATGTTTGTCGACATAAGTAGTATGTAACACTAATCGGAAATGAAATGCCTGAGAGCAAAATGTTGAGAAGATCCAATCGGTCATGAATCAAAATTTATGCAGAGAGTAATTGTAATAGCAATGAAGGAACAACGGTGTATGAGACAATTCGTGAAAGATTTGCAAACAAATTATTTAATGTATAGCTTTTCGCATTTTATGAAATAACTCTAATTTTTCATTGAACAATTAATTGGTTTGTCGTACCAAGTTTTCACTGCTCCAGTATGCACATGTTAGCCTCTCTGATCCAAATTCGCTCGATGTACTTTTAACTTTGTTATTTGTGCTATCCACTTATAAACTGTTGTCTCTGTTTCTTATTGTCTTCTGATTTCAAACACCGTCGGGATTTATATGATAACGGTTATCAAGATGATCAATGAACAAAGCTAAACCACTACAGTGTGTACACAATTCAACCTATCAAATATTATATCTCGTCATCGACTGAAATTCTTGACATTTAGACTATTGGATTCCTTACTAGTAGACTAAAAGTCGAGCATCCATATGTGAGATTGAATATGTTGGATCATGAATGAATATTGTTGTAGAATCCGATGCTAGAATGAAACAGCCATTTAGTATTTTGTAGTCTAACTTGAGTCGATTTGTTTTTTCGACAATCTCCACAAATTTCATAATTGATAGTTATTCTTTCTCCTCTTATATCATGTATAACACAGTTTTCTACATACAATAAACTCTCCTATAGATACTGCATGGTTAATGGAGCTTCCGAAAGTTAATCCCAGGAAGATGAGCCATCGTTGTTCATTCACCGTATTGTTTTCATATTTTACGAATTCAGTGTGTAATTTTGCTTAATACGATAAATTGGTCTTCCCTACCAAAGATTTCATTCATTACACTAATTTCATTTGTAAATCATGAATAGCTGTCTCAATGTTTAGATACTGTGAGGTATTCAACACATTAAACTGTAGTTCAAATGCCTTGGAAAATTTAAAGCCATTGTAAAAATTTAGTCTTCAGTGCTAAAATATAGCGATAATATTCTGAAGTTGACTTCAGTAACACTATTTATATACCTAGTATAGGGAAATATAGACAATTCAGTCTCTCACGTTGTTCAAACAATAGTCCAACTTTTATTTACTTTTACTTACTTACGCCTGTTAAACCCAATGGGGCATAGGCTGCCGACCAGCATTCTCCAACCCAATCTGTCCTTAGCCTTGTTTTCTAGTTCCATCCAATTCTCGTTCATTCTTCTCACGTCTATCTCCATTTCCCGGCGTAATGTGTTCTTTGGTCTGCCTCTTTTCCTTCGGCCTTGAGGATTCCATGTGAGGGCTTGTCTTGTGACGCAGTTCGGTGCTTTCCTCAATGTGTGTCCTATCCACTTCCAGTGCTTCTTCATGATTTCTTCCTCCACTGGGATCTGGTTTGTTCTCTCCCACAGTAGGTTGTTGCTAATAGTGTCTGGCCAACGGATCTGAAGTATTTTGCATAGACAGCTGTTAATAAACACTTCTATCTTCTGGATGACGGCTTTCGTAGTTCTTCAGGTTTCTGCCCCATACAGTAGAATTGTCTTGACATTTGTATTGAAAATTCTAACCCTGGTGTTGGTTGACAGTTGTTTTAAGTTCCAGATTTTCTTCAAATGTAGATATGCTGCTCTTGCTTTGCCGATCCGCGCCTTCATATCTGCATCAGATCCACCGTGTTCACCAATGATGTTGCCCAAATACGTAAAGGATTTTACATGTTCCAAATCTTCTCCGTCAGTTGTGATTCGATTGTTTCATGCTGTGTTATATCGGAAAATTATGCTTTTCTCTTTGTGTATATTGAGACCTACTGCTGTTGAGGCTTCTGCTACACTGATCATCTTCTCCTGTATTTGTTATTGCGTGTGCGATAAAACAGCCAGATCATTTACGAAGTGTAGATAGTCCATCTGCATTCTAGCTGTCCACTGTATCCCATGCTTTCCCTCAGATGTTGACGTCTTCATGATCCAGTCGATCACCAGGAGAAAGAGAAATTGTAAGTAAGTAACATTGCCTAACACCGGTCTTTAAAAATGAAGCTTATTATAAAAGACATATAAACCTATACAATCTAGTTATACAATAAGAATATATGTATAATATTAGTCCATAAATAGTTTTCAAAAGTTACCCATAATTAGATCTTCGTTAGGATATATATAAGGAGGGGGAACTTAAATTTATCTCAGATTTTGTTATTTTATTATTAATAAAAATGCAAAAAAACAAGACACAAAAAAAATTATTTTTTTTTTGAAAAACAAAACAACAAAAACACCTCGTCTAATTTAACATGGTTCACAACTATTAACGCTACATTCATTTCACTTTAAACATAAATTCCCTTGACGACAGTAGCAACAACAACAATAAAATGAATCCAAATATTTTGGCGGAAATTTCAAATACATTGGGAAATTTCATTAATTTTTTTTTTAGTTTTTAACTTTCAACAAATTTTTTTTTTCAAATTCATTTTCGATATGAATTAGTTTATTGGATTAAATTTCTAAAATTATTGAAGCATTTCATAGAAGTATTTTTACTTCACGATCATTGAAGTTGTCATTGAATATTGAATGTAATTCTATGGTTTATTAAACATATTTAATGAATTACTATAATTAGTAATGATCAACCGGAATTTAGCCATTATTTTATCATTCAATTATTATATGTAACATTTAACATAATTGACTATTGTAGATAAATGAATGAATAATGATTTGTAATATAATATGAAATACTAATGTGTTTTGCATACGTTGTAGTGTTGATTATTATGTTAAGCCCCATATACCTTATTCTCTAGCTTTCGGACAGTCCATTCTATTCATCCTACTCCAGTCACATTCTGACGTTGTTATTTATCCGCTTAACAATCTTGACTAGTTTTATATGATCACGTAGGTGTGTGTACATTTCTTATCCCATTACTCAGCACATGTCTGTAACTTACTTTTGTGTAACTATAATTATTGATTAACGCTTGGGTAAATGGGAGTTGGCTTATCCACCATCTCCACTGAGCGTCGTTTTGCTTTGTTCTTTTTCATTCGCTCTATATACAAAATATATGTATTCAAAAGTCCATTCTCGTTATTCGACTTATTTAATTCCGTTATTGACTAACGTGATTTAAGTCGATGATTATATACGACGATAGGCGACATATATATTTCAATAACAATCATGATTACGAACTACTTGGAGTGAGATTTCGGGCGATTAAATTGGAGAGCCCTTTCGACAACATCGTCCGATCTAAATGACGACAAAATAAAGGGCCCCACAAAAACTTCTTTGAAAGAAGTGGATAACAGTCTTTCGAAGTAAAACTCTTTGTTTATATGTAAATTGTTAGAATAATATGGAATAATATTGCTAGTGGAGAATGAACCAATTGGTTACATCATTAGTGTAATCAGTTTTTAGTAAGTAGACTGTTTCAATGTTAGAGATTTGTGGAAATTATCAACTGGTTTTTTTATTAAATCGGAAAATGAAAGCATGTAATCACTAGAAAACTGCTTTATCGTTAAAATGTGATTTTTCATCAGTTCATGCCCTTAGTTCTCTCCATGGTGAACTAATAGGTATGTACAGCTAAGTTGTTCTATACCAGGTCGAAACAACTAATTCAGTGATTATCCAACTACAATCATTTCAAAATGTAAGCTGCAATAGTAAACTGTTTGTCTGACTTAAGCATGAATTTCTTTATAAAATCAAGTATTCGCTGAAAAGGAGACTGTAAAATGGTCTTAGTATATCTAGAGCGTAGATTCTTGATATATTGAGTACTACTTGAGTACTTGAACGCTAGAACCCTCCAAGTCACAAGAAGACAAAAGAAGAGTGAGAGGGAATTTTATTTAGAAACATTATCAAAGATGGTACAAAACTTTCAGGTATTTATAGTTTTTAATAAAAAACGAAATCATCATTACAGCCATGCAATCCGCATTCAGTGGTTTTTAGCATTTTTCCAATAGGGAAGTTGCACGTTGAGATTCTGGAATGTTCGCTCAAAAGATGAGTGGATGAAATGTCTTCAGCTCTTTCTGAGATTCTTAGAGCTTCCTTGAGTGTTATATCCCGATAAGAATAATGAATGGTAATTTTTTGGATCCATTTACGGACCAAGACTATGAGTATATTTTTATCGTGTAATTGTTATGTAACTAAACTGTTCATATTCATGTTCCTCTTATTATGACCTTTATTTTGACCTATGAACTATTATAATACGATTTGCCATTCTTGAGTTATGGCCTGTCTATTAATTACCATCTCCTTCGTTCACAGCCTCATTTGACTCATTCTCGTACAAATGTTGTTTCAGATTTTATAGTACGTTGTGGTCTGTTTGGTTGATATATAAACCAAGTATGTTTGAAATAGATGGTTCATATTGCAGAGGCTGAGATTGGTGTTCTGGACTCGACTGGCTGGGCTAGGCGGAAAGCAGGACCAATCAGGACTTTAGGTTGCTAGCACGTGTTTTATGAGTCACTGGTTCGATCGATAATCCGCTGCACTCTGATTAGCGATATCGTTGCGTAATAAAATAAACAGGGCACACAGGTTCACAAGTTATAACACTGAGTTCACCCGTGGGCCATCCTCAAAAGTCTATAAATGTCAACTGCTATGTCGAAGTTATTCTTATGATTACGTAATAGAGATTAAAAACAACGTTCAGATTTTCCAATCAATATAACATTTTGTTGTTGATTTATTCAGGATATTATAATCAATGATTGTTATCATACTCTGATATTTTCTGTTGATACCAAGATCACAATAATCCTTCATGAAATTGGAAACATTCACCAATAAAGTAGTCACTAATGACCACATATGTTAT